TCAGTAGACTGGAGTGGGGAATGGGCGCGGTGGCTGACATGGTCGACTGACCATGCCTGCGCGCGCCACAGCACGACCTGGCCCCCCATACACACAAACACCAGGATTTCACACAACGGGGGTTGAACGGCGTGTCTCTCATATGCGTGAGAGGGCCGTGGAAGGTGCTGCTTCAGCCCGTCCCCAGCCCACCAGTCCGCCACTACACAACACACCCACACAACGTGACGAACTGCGTGAACCGAGAACGAGCGTCAATCAGCAACCTTCCTATCCACGACACTTGACGTGTCGGGATAGTCTCGGACTCAAGTCACTCGTGCAGCCGAGGCCGCATGGGGACCGAGTCGAGATGCACACGTCCCACTTGCGTGGGAGGCGGCAGTTGAGTGCATGAGGTGTGTGAGGGTTGACGTCTAGTGGGGTGATGATGTTAGGAGGTAGGGAGTGAGGGAATGTGTGGTGTGACCGGCGGTTGTCTATCGCAGGTCGTTGTCGATGCGCATGTGGCCGAATAGACCCATGCGATGCGTGAAGGTGCGAGGGCAGTGTGGGCAGTGGAGGCGAGTGCGGTGGGTGTAGGTTGGTGCTCCAGGCACTGGTTCACCAGTCTCTGTGCGATGGATTCGCAAGTGACCGACCAGGCCGTTGTGTGAGGTGAAGGTGCGGTCGCAGTGAGGGCAGGTGGGGGTGGTTGCGGTTGCTGTGTCGTGGTTGGCGATGTGTGAGACGGCAGCCTGAACGGCCACCGCTGGGGCAGTGGAGGAGAAGGAGGAGGATGGAAGTGGTGGTGCAGAAGGAGTGTCAGAGTTAGTTGGCGGAAGAGAGGACGAGGAAGAGGCGTGCGCGGGGACGATGGCTGGAGCAGTTCGAGAGGTGCAGTTGGTTTGAAGATGGCCAACAAGTCCGATTCGTGCCCGGAATGTCCGTTGACATCGAGGACACGTAGGGAGAGGTTGTGCGGCAGCGTTGCGTATTGGGCGAAGTTGTGATTTGCGGACTTCACGTTTCACTTTGGCGGCGGCGTTGCGGTTGGCTTCGTAGATGGCAGCGCCCGTCTTCACTGTTCTCCTCCATGTCGGACGATCGCGGGCGAGCTCTTCCCAGTTGGTCGGGTTGATGTGCAGGCGCTTCAGGGAGGACTTCAGAGTATCTTTGTAACGGCGAATTTGGCCTCCTTGACGACGAGAACCCGTCTCAACGTCTCCGTAGAAGAGTCGTTTGGGTAGTCGCTCGTCGTCCATGCGCACCAGATGGCCGCTCCAGCGCAGCTGCATTTGTCTCAACATGGAGTAGACGCTCAGAATTCCCGTCCGTTCCAGCACTTCGGTGTCGGGGATGCGGTCCTGCCAGTTCAGCCTCAGGATGCGGCGGAGACAGCTGAGGTGGAAGTGGTTTAGTCGACGTGCCTGCCTCGTGTACACTGTCCAGGTCTCCGCTCCGTACAGTAGCGTCGGCAGGATGACGGCCTTGTACATCTTCAGCTTTGTGCTCAGTTGGAGACCGTGACGATTCCAAACTGTGCTTTGGAGGCGACCGAAGGCTTGACTGGCTTTCGAGATCCTGTTGGCGACTTCGTCGTCGATTTTGGTGTTGCGGGAGAGCGTGCTGCCCAGGTACGGGAAGTTCTCTACCACTTGTAGTTGAGTCCCATTGACGTTGATTTGCGGCGCGTTGGGGGCTGTGGCTGAGCTGGGAGGCGGCTGATGCATCACCACCGTCTTCTGCGTGTTAATAACCAGCCCAAAGTTCTCGCAGGCGGCGGAGAATAGGTCCATGCTCCGTTGCACCTCTGCTTCTGAGGTGGTGTTCAGGGCGCAGTCGTCGGCGAAGAGGAGTTCGTGCACGGTGGCTGTGGATACACGCGATTGGAAGTTCATGCGCCGGCGATTCAGGAGATGACCGTCCGTTCTATAGGCGATGCGGATTCCAGGGCGTTCGTCGCGGTAGGCGTCCATCAGCATGGCAGATAACATAAGACTGAAGAGGGTAGGCGCCAGTACGCAGCCTTGCTTCACTCCATTGGTCACTGCGAATGCCTCTGAGACAGCTCTGTTGTCCGTGACTCTCGCCATTATACCGTCGTGCAGCTGACGCACCATCTGAGTGAATCGCTCCGGACAGCCGAATTTCTGCATGATCTTCCACAGTCCTTCACGATTCACCGTGTCGAAGGCTTTCGTCAGGTCCACGAAGGTAGAGTACAGGTGGGTCCGCATCTCCTGGCACTTCTCCTGAAGTTGGCGGGCTGCAAAGATCATATCCGTGGTCCCACGATGACGACGGAAGCCGCATTGGCTTTCCGGCAGAAGGCCCTGTTTCAGATGGTTGTTGAGGCGGTTGAGCAGGATGCGAGCGACGATCTTCCTGGCGATGTTCAGCAAGGAGATGCCGCGGTGATTGTCGCAGACTTGGCGATTCCCTTTGCGCTTGTATAGGTGCACGATAGTTGCGTCCTTGAAATCTTGCGGGACTTCACCTTGACGCCACATCTCCTGGAAGAGCGCAGTCAGGTGATCCATCAGTTGGGGACCTCCGTGCT